GTCGGGGCGCGCGGCGGAGGCCGCGGGCGGCCCGGGAAGCGGGAGCGAGCCGCGGGCGGCTTCCGGGCGCGGGCCGCAGGTCCCCGCCCGGCGGAGCCAGGCAGGGCTTCCCCGGCCGCGAGGCCGAGGACGGGCCGGTCCTTGCAGGCGCGGGCCGGCGCGTCGGGTCAGGCTGATGCTGCTGTGGCTTCTCTCCCGGTTCCCTGCTTGCCGGCAAGATAAAGGGCTGAAGTGCCCGGTGTGCCTGCTGGAGTTCGAGGAGGAGGAGGTCGTCAGGAGGATGCCCTGCCAGCACCTCTTCCACGCGGGCTGCATTCTTCCTTGGCTTGGAAAGGTGGGCCTGGAAAGGGCGCCCAGCTTCTGGGTGCTTGGGTGGAAGGGGTGCCGCCTCTCTTTCCCGGGAAGCTGACGGGCCCCTTCTCTCCGCCAGACCAACTCCTGCCCTCTCTGCCGCCATGAGCTGCCCACCGACGACGAGCAGTATGAAGAGTACAAGAAGGACAAGGTGAGCGGCCAGCGTGGGCCCGTCCGCCCCGGCCCTGGGGCCGGCTTTGCCGGGGGCTGCTCCTCCACGGGAAGTCTGGGGAGGGAGAGCAGTGTGTTTTCTGGCCCCAGGCACCCGCACAGCCAGCCGTTGGCCTTTCAGTCAAACGGGGTATAAATGCTATACTTAATAATTGGAGGGCGAAGATGTGACCGAGGGCAAGCCAGAACTGTGGGAAATGGCCCTTCTGAACTCAAGAGGCCAGGTTTACGCGCAAGGGCTGTTCGCGGGTTGCGCCTGCCATGGGCGGCACAGGAGTGGGCCAGTTCTCACAACGGCCTGGGGTTCCCCTTCGCTAAACGAGTGGGTTAAAACCCCGAGTGTCAGGTTCAGGCTTTATGGCACACAGCCTCAGAATGGACATTTCTGGGTTGTTTATCGAGGTGGAAAGAGGATGGATCTGTTGAGCTCTTACGGCAATTCAGTCCCACATGGACAACAAAACCACATTTTAAGCCACCTGTGGGTTCCTGTCCCCAGGCTGATATGCAGGAGTATTTAATCCGAGAATTGGATTCTGCGAGCTGACAGAAAGCCCAGAAGGCGTGAAAAGCCTTGTGGAGCCGGTGGGCTGGAAAGTGGCACAGCGGGCAAATCCTGCAAGGCCTTCCGTTGTGCAGCTGCTTAGGCAGGAATGGGGTGGTCACGGGGCGGTCGCTCTTTGCCCCCCCAAGGGAGCTCGGTACAAACGGAGCCCCTCAAGGGACCCCCGTGGGGGACATCCCATGTCTGCGTTCCCGCAAGTGGAGGAGTGGTTCATTTGCGCAAGGCACTGGAACGCGGCCAGTTGCTAAACCACGGCACTTATTCCTCCCTCTCCTTCCATCTTCCAGCTGCGGAGACAGGAGCAGGCCCACCGACTGGAGTGCCTGCACGGCGCAATGTACACGTGATGGCTGGCCGGCTGGCCGTGTCCTCCCCCCGTCCTCCCCTCTGGGCGGCCAGAGGCCTGCCCGTGCTCCCCCACTGCAAGCTCACCCGCAGCTGCCAGGGACAGGATGCCGTGGGCCGTCAAGATGCAGCACCCCCCCCCTCGAGACACCCCTCTCTTCCATCCCGGCAAGGGCTGGTAGTCTGTTAGAAGTCCGTGCCCCCAGCTTAAAATAAATTCTTTGCTATGCAACTTCCCCTCCGTGCTTCACTTCGTGCATTTGCACCCAACATTTCCCCTCCTGGTGATGGAGAGAACCTCCTGGGGCAGAAGGGCAGCAGTCCCGCCTAAGTGCAGAAGGCCGAAAGCCAGGAAAATTCAGTCCAGTCGTCCTTCCCTCTGTCTCTTTCCCTGAGCTGGGGAAGGATGTGGCCGTTGAGTGGATCCACTTCACACCTTGCAGGTGTCCTGAAGCGGACACACGTCCAGCACAGGGACTGACCCCTGAAAGAAACGCACGTCTCTGCTGTCCCGGCACGGAGAGGTCACGTGCAGCTGAGCCAGAGCTCCCGCGGCAAAGGCAGGTGGCTCACCTTGGGGTGATCTGGAGTTGGTCTGCACTAGAGGCGCTGCCTGGGTAGTTTTGTTGTGTTGTGAGGTCAGCAGAAGGGCGTTTGCTTGGTGAGCAAGGTCTGCGTGTCTGGCACTCCTGTGACCAAGCATCCCAGCTGGAAAGAAGGCAGAGGCTCTTGCTGCCAGCCCCCACCTGCTCCGGGCTCCCCGGCACTGCATCTTTCCAGGCCGGCGCTCTGCCCTCGCCTGCTGCTGTCTAGCGAAATGCCTCGTCCAGGGCATCAGGGACTCATCTCCCCAGGTGTGCAGGGGAGGGGCAGGAGAGCAGGGGACTGGGGAAGCTGCCCCGCATCAGGTCGGTTGTGCCTCTAACTCAGGGTGCGTCTTGTCCATTCAGACTGGCTGCATCTCCCCGTGGTCTCATCACAGCTCAGCCTTCTCATGCAGCAAAGTGTAGCTGAGGCCTTTTGCAGGCAGAAGCCACGGACTTCATATTTAGCCACGGCCTTTCCCTCTGGAAATACAGGTGGGAACTCTGGGCTGTCAGTGATAAAGAGGACACCAGCAAGGCCCAGTCGCCACAGCCGTTTCACCCCCAGATGCAGGAACCGGGCTGGCATTTCCCCGGTGTTCTGCGCTCTGCACTGTGTTTCAGCTGTGGATCACATGCTGCAAATGTGGGCGAGCAACCTGGTGACGCGGGAGTGCCAGGCTGGCTGCGGAGGGCACAAGCCTCCGGGCCAGTTGGCTGGCCTTCCTCCTGCTGCAGAGGCCTCCTTCAGGTCCGCTCACACATTCCTCGGCTTGCAGGTTGAGGCCAAACGCCGTGAGGGCATCTCCCGCACGCAAGGCGGTGGAGAAGCGAGTGCTGGGGCGGAGCGCTTGCAGCAGCGGAAGCGGGGGTGCCCCGTGACTTTCCATCCAAGGGAGGGGTGGGCAGAGTGCCAGGGCCATGGGTCAGAGGGCCCCCCTGTGCCAGGTTGGCGGCGGCCGACGTGGGCAGGTGACGGCCGCCGTGGCCTCTCTGCCTCCTTTTCCCATCCTGGTCTGGCTTGAGGTGAACCAGGCAAGGGAGGAGCAGCTGGGGGGGGGGGGGCTGCCAGGGGGTGCGTGGCTGCAGGCGTGGAGGTGGTGGCCGCCCTTCTGAAAGCTGTGTGGCACCCTCGTCCCGCTCTGGCAGTGAGCCGGTTCTCGCTGGTTAGCTACCAGGATGCCCCACCTGCTGCCTGGGGAGCTCGGGAGCTCTCCCTCGCGGGGGGCATTCGGAAAGCGCCTGGGGAGTCGTCTGAATGGGGTGGTGCACCACAAGGGGGGCTGGCGCCAGTGGCCCTCCAGCCCTTCTAGCTCTACCCTCCCGGGACTGCCGAGCACAGGCGCACACCAAGCCGACGAGGCGGTTCTGCTTTGAGGCAACTCTTTATACACCGTTTATATAGCGAGATATAAAAAAGTTCTAAAAAACACCAAGCCACCAGCTCAGCCGCTCGGGGCCGAGGGCCAGAAGCGCTCCTCTCCGCCTTCGGGGAAGTCCGCTCATAGGGGCGTGTGGCCGCGTGGAGCGAGGACTCGGCCGGCCGGTCGCTCCCCTACAGCAGGCCCTGCTTGGCAACGCGTCCGTGCTCCGGGGGCACTGGCTCATTTTTGCAAGGCCAAGTGCGCAGAGCGGCGTCTCCCGGGAAGGCCTGGCACGGGGAGCTGCCTCTTCCGTCGTCGCCCCATCCCTGCGCACCGCTCCCCCCTCGCTCCTGGTCAGTGTACTTGCTCCAAAGGGAAGGTGGGCAGGGAAAGGCAGGGAGGCGCGCCGGTGAGCAGCTGCCGTTGGCGGGCACCTGGACGGCCCTCTGTGGGACGCTGGAGCCGGGAGTGCGGAGAGCATGGCTGGAGCCCAGTGTGGCTCCCCGGGGCGCCAATTCGATGGCCTCGGGGTGGCCGGAGGACCGTGCGCGACGGCAAGCCGGACCGGCGAGGAAAAGCAGGACAGCCGCTGCAGTCCAGGCCCCCCCAGGGCTGGCTGCGGGGCCCAGCCTTCCCGATGCATCTCGCGCCTGGTCTGAGAGAGGCACGGAGGTGCCCGCCTGGACCAAGGGGGGGCTAGTGCTGGCAACCATTACTTTTAAAAAGTGGGGGGGTTGTTGCAAACGTAGAATTACCCAGTGGAAGAAGGTGCCCCTCGGCCCCCACTGGGGGAAAACAAGGCAGCTGCCGCAGCTGCAGGCTGGGCAACGGTGCCCGCCGCGCTCAGATCATGGCGATGCTCTCCGGGTTGCAGTTCAGGTGCGTGGAGGTGCTGCTCCCGCCGGGGGACTTGCACCCCCTGCTGTGCGAGTGCTGCAGCGCGGCCACCATGGTGTCGTTGGAGACGGCGCCGAACTCGTAGGCGAAGGTTCCGTAGAAGACCAGGATGTCGATGACGAAGATCCACTCGCAGATGGCCGCCAGGTGCTGCAGGAGGAAGCTTTCGTGGATGAAAAAGATCCCACCTGCCGGAGAGTCAAGGAAAAAGGGAGCGCTGGGGCCAGTGAGGTGCGTGCTTGGCTTAAAGGACAAGGTTTTCCTCTGTGGATAAAGCCTAAAGCCTGGGCACGCAGGCAGCCTTCGAAACCGCCCGAGAGAGAAGGGCGTTCTTATGGGCGCTTGCGCTGCTGCCGTCCACCCCGTGCCCCTCCCCGCTCGGGCTGTCGGAAAGGATACTGAGGACGAGGGAAATTAAGGCCACGCCGGTGAGGAAGACACGCAGGTGTGCCACCCAGAAGTCCAGGGCAGAGGCGGCGACGTGGTACGAGAGGGCGCATTGGAGGCAGACGAAAAGGAGGCCCGCTGGGAAGGCAACTCCAGCTCCGATGTAGTGGAGAGATTTGGCGTAGTCCACCTGAAGCCCAAGGAGAGACCGACCTGGCTCTGAAGCCCTCCCTGGGCAGTGGCGCCAGTCTCCCTGGGCACAACCGGGAGAGCCTCCCATCCCACGGGCGCCGGGGCAGCAGCAGTATCTTCCTGGCAAGCTGTAGGGGCTGGCGCAGGGGACCGACCTCCCCGCACTGCGATCCACTCAAAGCGCCCGGCCCCCCTACTCCCTCCCAAAGCGGGGAAAGCAGCTGCCACTAAACCCTGATGGAGGCCCTTGCCAGAGGGTCCCAAGCCCACTGCAAAGGCCCTGTTGCCCCAGAAACGCAGCTCTGCTCGGTGGCCAGCTTCATGCAGGACCTGGCGGCCGCCCAAGCCCTTCGAGCCGTGGAGACACAGGCCAGCTATTCGCAGGGGGCCTGGAACCCAGCAGGACAGCGGCGTGACCACCTGAGGGGCCTGCCAGCCAGTTAATGATCGCCTGCGGCATTTTCCAGTACCCACACCTTCTGGATGTTGCAAGCCCCGAGCAAATCTGGCTGCACATTAAGATCACCTCCGAGGCCCTGCTGCCGCCTCCTGAAGGAAGGCGGGCGATGGTCAAGGCTTCACTGCCACGCCTTCCCTTCTCTTGCAGGGTTCACCTGCAGCTGTTTTCTATTTGCCTGGCCCTTACGAGCACGGGGAGGCGCCATTCTGTTTCCTTACTCGGCTGCTTGTGCTCTCTTGCTCTGGCTGCGGTGCTGCTGATTTGTGGGCCAGAGAGCATGCCCCCAAGAGCAGCCTCCAGCAACTCCAAATGAGCACGATCCTGACCCAGGCTTCTCCCTGCTCTTCCCTCAATTCTGACATTCCTTTCCCAGTATGTGGCAAGATTGCGCTACACCCAAAGACAGAGAGCTGCTCATCTGGAGAGAGATGAGAAGCCCATGAAACTCCACCCAAGCTGCTCCAGAGAGAGCGGCTTTGCTACCCAGAGCCCCCGCTCCTGCTCCTTTGGGCTGCCCCGGCGCCCCCATGGAGCCTCCTCAGCTAACCTGGAAATTGCCGACAATGACGAGGCCGGCAGCATTGGTGCAACCCATGACCAGTGCCGTGGTGTTCACCCAGGAACGGTGGCTCCGCTCAATCAGCTGTCCGTAGCGCAGGAAACAGATCACCACCACTGTTGGGGAAGAAAAGACGCAGTTGGAAGGTCTGGAAAGGGGAGCACGGCTCACGAGTCCTTTTCGTGCGTTTTATGCTACACTCTGCGTGCCCGTCATAAGCCTGTGGATGCGCACATTTGAAAGTGTCGATTGTAACACCGGTCACAGAGTTCAGGCTGCATCGGGCTGAAATCCTGAAATTGCCTTCAGTGGACTCTCAAGAGCTTGAGTTGGCAGGCAAGCGGATTTTCAGTGGAGGCAGGTTGGCGTCCTGGACTTTTCCACGGCTGGAATGTCAGAGTTCTGCAAACTGACTTAAGATGTGTCATTTAGACAGGTCGAGAAACTGAGTTTTACTTGGTGTGGGCTGCCTTAGATTGCCTAGGAACAAAGCATCCATCTTTGTCTTCACAATCACAGAGTACTGCTTACAAGCATGGAGCAGACCTTACATTCGCCTGTACATTAAAGAAAAATCTGCTAGCCAAGATGTACTTCTGTTCCTGAGATCACATCCCACCGGTGTGACCAGCATTTTGGATGGCACGGTGCCTCTGGAGCCAGGAAGAAAGCCACCGTGTGCGGGTGTCTTGAAGTCTTTTTAAGGCACGTGGGTCTTCCCAGGAAAGCATTTATCCACAGCGAGGGTGCCCCCCACCTGAGCAATGCTGCTGCCTCCAGAGCAGCCGGGCAGGTTTTCTCTTCCTGGGTCTGCTTCCTGGCTGCCTCCCAAAGGCCAGGCACTCCCCGGAAAATCCCACCCTTCGTGGGGTCCTGTCCCAGGCAGATCACGCTTCAGGGAGGGTGGTAGCTGGCCTGACTTCACACCTACCCATGAAAGCTCCAATGTTGCCAATCAGGCTGAAGAGGCAGCTTTCAGGAGGGTAGGTACCACATTTGCTGCAGAAAAAATGGCAACGGATTAGCAGGGCAGAAACCCCAGCAAGGGACCCCTCCCCCCCCCACACACACACACACGTGAAGCACTTCCAAGGCTCTGCAAAGATGCTGCTCCGGGAAGGCAGCTCTTTGCGACCCGGCCAGGCACACCGTCGCGAGCCACTCTCCTCAAGGTTTCATGGGCTGCCACCGCCCCAGGACGGCCCAAGCGGCTTCCCCCCCCACCTGATCAAAGGGATGTCCTCCAAGGTGCAGCAGCTTTTGGGGTAGCCGTGCTTGGCGGGGTCAGCAGCGCAGGACTCATTGTACGACCTGCAACGGGAGGGACAGATGGGTGGTTCTCTTAGGTGCTGCAGCAGGAAGCAAGCTTGAAGAGCGAGGCCAGGTGCTGCCGCGGGGCTTCTGGGAGGACTCACCAGTTCTCCACAGGGCACACGTGGTGGTTCATCACTGCCATGGCATACCTGCGGGAAGCAGAGAGGACCCAGTGGCTCGACGGAGCAAGACGATGGGCCGCATCGATGCAGCAAGAGGTGGCGACTGCGCAAGGGGAGTCCCCTGCCCGCTCCTGCCAACTTCCTACCAGCTCCCCAAGGAGAACTGGAGCCAGTGAGCGCTGAGCAGGCAGGGTCCACGAAGGGCATCTCCTCAGAGCTCCACTGAAGTGAACGGGGAGCAGAATCTGTAGGATGTCCAAGGGCAGCCCTTTACCGGATGCTGTGCTGGCCTTGCCGGCACCAAGAATCCACGAGCCACTGTCCTCTGGCAGCCCCAAGTGGGCAGGTGCTTTCTGCTCCTCCTGGCCTGCCAAGAGAACTGGGCATGTGTCAAGAGCCCAAGAGGGGCTCCAAGGGCCCCCCCTGCGCCCAAGGCCCGGGCCCTGCTTCGCCCCTTTCCCTGTGGGCTCGGGACCCCATCTACCTGCAGTCCTGGGCATCCCTTCCAGGCCAGCCACCAAGTGCTGCCCCCACCCCCCCGCCCCTCCTCTTGGAACACATTTGGGGGTGGGTGCATGGCACGCCCCTGTTTGTTCAATGAGCCAGGTGGAGTGGAGGCTGGGGCTGGAAAAACCTGCCCGGGACAAGAGGGGGAAGTCTTGGTTCCTCACCTCACCTCTTGCCAGGGCAGCCGCAGCACAACTAGACTGGAAGTTTCCAGCCCAGGAGCGCTGGAAATTTCCACAACCCAAGAATGCTGGGAACTGCACTTTCGACTCGTTCCCTGCCCCTGTCTCGTTTACCCAGAAAACCAGCAGCCCCGCGAAGGCTCGAGTTGAGGGGACTGTTGCAAAGCAGCCTCCGGGAGATAAAAAGGTGCCTTCTGACCTCTGCCTTGCCCACACGCTGGGCTTCAATAGCCACCTCCGATTCTGAACTGACACACCGTTCCTCGAGCTCCAGCCTGCGACCGCTGGCATAAAACCGGTCTCTTGCCAGGAGCAGAGTTCAGTGCCTCCTTAGAAGAGCCTCCTTGGCCGGGTCAAGTCAGCCCACTCCTCGACCCCAGTCCAGGACCAGGGAAGGCTCCAAGTGACCCTTTGCTCCCACAAGAAATCTGCTGCCACAGCAGCCGCTGAGGCACAGGGGGGCACCCGCCGTCTGCCTCGGGCTGCAGGGGTTTGCATCCTGTGGCTTCATGCGTCAGTCACACTGAGCCACGGAGGTGGCAATGCTTACACTCTCTCAAAAGCACCAAAGGAAATGTGGCCTGAACTTTCAAACAGGTAAGTAGCCCAACACATGATACACAAAACGCTTTATACAGCCTTGAGCCGAGAGAGGAAATCTTTCCTTTTGACGTTGGACACAAAACCTCAGGAAAGTTTCCTAACGGCCAGAGAAGGCACACAACGAGGCCGACGGCACAGAGGTGTTGGCTCTCGGTTCCCGGGAGGTGCTCAGAGTACCTGGACAGCCACCTGAGAGAGCGGCTTTAAGCTGAACTCCTGTCCTGGGCCCCCTCCAGCTCTGCCTCTAGGAAGTCCCTGGGCTGCCAATACTGTAGGCAAGCAGCAGCCTTGTTACGGCACGCTTGCAAGATGGAGGAGTCGGTGTTGTGGATTCACTCCCCCACTGCCCCCCCGGTCATGCCGCTTGCACCCTCCTCCAAGCATCAGCGGTACCCCAGAGAGCCTGGAGCTGGCGGCAGCCCCTGCGCCGGCCCCACCCCTTCTGCCCACACAGCACCTGTCCCTGAGGGGGCTGGGCTGCAGAGTTCGGGCGCTGCATCGTGGTGCAGTTCAGGCAAATTGCACACGAAGCCCCTGGGGCACCACGGCCTCCGCGGAGCACGAGGCACCCGTCCCACCACACCCGTCCCCAGCTCACGGAGAGGAGGGCTGTAACCCAGACAGCAGGCGGAAGGGAAGCAGCGCTCGGCTCGAACCAGCAAGGGAGCAAGCAGGCAGGCCAGCCCTGGTCTCGGCGGAGGCGTCGACCTGGCCTGTCGTGGTAGAAGCCGTGTGCACCATCCGAGCGTGGTCTGCACCGTGCTGGGAAAAGCGTCGGGGCAGAGATTCCGCCCCCAGCCTGGGGACAGCCCTGGCGAGCTGCCTGGCACCAGGAGTGCTTCTTGCACAGCCCCCAAAGCGTTCACAGCCTGCTGCACGGCCACTGCGGCCCAGCCCTGGGGGAGGGTGGCCCAGGCCTCCCCGCGCTTCCGGGGCCAGCCCTGCAGCCCCAGCCCGACCAAGCCAGAACCGAGCAGCGCTTACACGATCCATATTCCCGTGATCGAGAAGGCAGAAAGGCTGACGGGGAGGACGATCCACGCTGTCATCAGTGAGCGCAGGCACACAGCAGGTGTGCGGGGGGTGGGAAGGACTCCGATGAGGAGGGGGGAGGGGGAGAGGAAAGGAGAGGGGTGGGTGGGCAGGCGGGGCAGTGAGCTACGACTCAAGGCCTCCAGCCGGGACCATCAGGCGTCACCCCTGGAAGAGAAGCGAGAGCTGGGTCAGTCTGGCTGGCTGGCTGAGGGTTCCAGTGAACTCCCAGGAGAGCTGGGAAGGCGCATCTTGCCGCCCCCAATGTCCAAGGCTGCACTAGGGAGAAACCTGGGAGGTGAGCATCTGCCTGCCACCCAGTCAAGGAGCAAACCCGCTCCATCTGCCACCTGCAGCAGGCGCACCGATTGCTCTGCGGCCCCCATTCAGCAGCATCAGCCGCTTGCAGGCACCCGAGTCTCACCCCTTGGTACAAATGCCGCAGGAAGTTTTCACCAAGTCCGGTAATGAGGTTTCAAAGTACGTTTCCCGGGCACTCTCAGCCCCCACAAGTGAGAACGGCGGGAGAGCTCCTCCTGGGATGAGGCCCCCGGGGCACGATTGCGACCTGATGGCAGCCTTCTGTGCAGTTTGGGAGGACGGCGACAAGGGCGACCCCCCCTCCAGCTGCATCATGCTTCCCCCCTGTGGCCTGCCCAGTGCCAGCGCTGCCCTGCTTTTGGTGAAGGCACAAGGAGATCCGCTGGAGATCAAAATTTAAGAAATGCAACATGCGCTACTAGATGAGCTAAGAAGAACACCATCAAATGCTCCAGGAGACCCATTATTTTATTCTAGAAAAGTGATCAATCAGAAAAACATGATCACTTTAAATTCCAGTAGGACTGTTCTCTGAGGCATTTCTACAGTTCCATGGAGAGCGTCAGAACGTAAGAAAAGCCATGCCGGATCAGGCCAGAGATCCGTCCGGTCCAGGTGGCACACCAGCTGCCCACAGGATCCCTCCAGCAGGATGAGGGCAAGGCCTCCACCTGCCCAGCTCCTCAAAGGGAAGCCACTCCAGCCCCTCACCATTTTTGCTGCGCTTCTCTGTACGTTGTCCTATTCAATAACGTCCTTTGCAGGTAAGACAACCAGAGCTGAACACAATATTCTTAGTGTGGCGACACCAAGAATGGTATCAGGGATATAAGATTCCACCTGTTCAATTTTCTGTTTCTAACTATGCCTGCCATGGGGCTTGCCTTCTTCACAGATTAGAAACACTAAGTAAAATAGAAAAAATAAAAGTAATCCAGCGCAAACTCACAGGCCACCCCAAATGCTGCTCAAACCGGTTTTCACCCAGCAGGGACGGACATTGCAGAGCCTCGACGCCCTCCCACATCCCCACCAAGCACACCAGTGCAGGCGGTGGAGCCGAATGGGGGGCCTTCCTTGGAGCCTGGGGAGGCTTGTGCGGTCTTTCATATAGCATGGATCATGGATTGTTACTATAGCGAACCTGAAGCTATGGGCTTTTACCCACAAACTACCCACAGTGAGAATGCATGGTTTGTAACAGAATTAAGCCAGGAGTTATGGACATTCCAGGAAGTGGGGTTCGTGGGTTGCTTCATTGGGTCACAGAGGCAGCAGGCACGACTAGGCCAAAATTCTCAGCCTCTTCACATGCCAGTAGCACAAGGGCATTTGAGAAGCTCACACTGATAGTGGGCAGGTGGAGGAGGGAACCAACCAACCAACCAGGAACTGAGAAAACAAACCGTGGTTTGTTTAATCATCTGCTAGACAAACCATTATATATTTAAACCATAAATTAGTGTTACGTGCAAGCCAGATCTACTTAACTAATCTAGGGTAATGCTGAACTGTTTCAGCTTGCAATAAAGTTTAAAACATTCATCTTGAAAAATGAAAACAAAGCAACTCTGCTTTGTGTTCCTTTATAACAACACACACGCACCCCACGCATCTCCCCAGGGGGAGGCCTGCAACACGCCAGTGAAGATTCTCTGTGGAAACGGATTTGTTTCTGCCAGTATCAACATTTGTTTTGAGATTTGCTCTTGCTCCTTCAAAGAAAGTGACTATGCTTATTTCCTGCATTCCTTCCTCTGCGCTGAGAGG